CCTAACCCGGCACAAAAAAAAAGCCTAGTTTTGTTCAGGGTTATTGACAGATGAAGAGTGCTAAAGGTGGCCCAATGAGAGGTATGAGGAACAGAGATGAAACAGAGAAGGGGGTAAAACCTCCCCCTTTCAGAGACAGCCAGATTAACTAGGCTCATCTGTCTATGTTCTGGTCTGTTTGTCCGTTTGAGTGAAGTGCAACTCTGTCTTTAGTAAAGAACCAGTATGTACTCACTCTGTGTGATTTCTGTAACACTTGGGGTGTTAGATCAAAGACAGACTATAATCTTTTATGTAAAATAGGCGTGATTCAGAAACCTTCTTATTTGGAGAAATATTTTATGCTGTAAACTGAATCAATTAGTTTAAAAAGCAAAAATATTTTTAGTATGTCTGGAGTTAGTACTTTATTTTTAAACAGTGGGGATGACACATAGAAACTTTCATAAGTACTTGGAGCTGCGGAAAGAGGTGTCTGTTGCAGGACATTGATTCCTTGAGGAGGAACATACAAATCCAGTAATATAGCAGAACCTTTCCGAGTAAGAAGACCACAACCTGCTGTTTAAAACAAGTGCCTTACTAATCCCAAGTGACCATCAACAGTACTTTTCTAGTGTCAAGTGTGGGAGTAAGTACAGAATTCAGATTTTCAGGACAGGTCGTAAGGCTACAGAAACCATTTTCAAATGTGTGTGATAACACATGCCTCTCTGTAGAGAAGTGAGCCTGGGACAAGTGGGAAATATGACCTGGGCCAGCGTTTTACCTTCTTTGGCTTGTGAGTCAGTCACATGAGTTTGGAAAAATTCTCCCAAACTGTCAGGAGTTAATCTTGCTCTTCACAATATGTTTCAAAGATTATTATGTTAAGTTTTCCCAGCTGACTTTAACCTATCTGACAAATATGTTCCAGAATGGAAATGTATTGTCGGGAATTGACCGAGAGATTTGAGGATGTTTGGATAGTTTCTGGACCTCTGACCTTGCCTCAAACAAATGCAGATGGAAAGAAGAGTGTTACTTATCAGGTATGTACCTGTGTTGCTGAGTTAAGAGTGCAGTGGTGATATTTTATTTCAAAGTTAAACATCCTGGTACATGCAAAATGTACAAAATGTCTCATATAGTTGGCACAAGTTCAGCAGAGGTGTTATATCGTGCCTGCACATGAAAAAGTATAAATTTTATATTCATTTGTTTTATTTACAAAGAGAGATCTACTAAGCGTTTGTTCAGTCTGCAGTAAAATTGTTTTCTGACTTCTATATTCTATGACAGTATCTGAGCAGAGAGTTAGTGGGTTTTGCTGATGTGTTTGCATCTATTCAGTCATTTATTGATATATTTTAGAAACAGTGCAATACAAAGGTAATGTGGGTTTCTCAAAGTTATATAGGGTATTGGAATGCCTGTGCTCAGTTAATTTCAAAAGCAGTTGTTTGCTGATATTCCATATGCATCACTTAGATGAGGCCTTGCAGCTCTGATTCTGAGTATACCAAAGTCAGCTGAAAGACTTCATTCAAGTTCAATAGGTTTTAGGTGAATGCTGTGTAGTCATGGGTCCATGGTACTGGTACCCCCCCTTCTTCTTTTGGTCTCCCATTTTTATTACCTGCTTAAAATACTCTGAAGATTTAGGGTTGATCATGCACGGTCTCTAGAAACCGTCACTGGTAGGCAGACAGATACGAAAGGCGTTCAAGTTAAGAGGTGAATTTATTATTGCTTATCCTGACTTGCTCTTGGTAAGCATGTGTTTAGACATCTGTAGGATCGGAGCATAGTAAGGTATTCAAGGGAGGGAGTATTACCTTCTGCCCCTGCTGTAATGAGATGTTATTGCTGTTTTCAGTTGCTAGATGAAAGCTAGCATAATGCAAATAATAAATGCTGTATTTTGCGCCTCTTGAAAAAACACTTTTCCTTGAAAATAAGTGCTCGGATCAACTGCAGCTTCAGCTCAAGAGTGATTCAGCTGTCCAACTAGTTCTCTGAGGAGCAATGAATGAGCTTGCTATAAACAAGCCCCTGCTTATATCAGAGGGATATAAGCAACACAAAAGAGAGAGATGTTCATTTTTCAACACTGGGTTGTTTAGCGGTAAGATTTAGGCACTGTTTCTCCATTTAAATACACATCTGATTTCCATTTGATTGAACGTGGAACTCAGTCATGATAGAATGTAATTTTTCCTGTTCACTTTTATCTTTTAACTTCTTTAAAAACTATCCTTTATGTTTCCACCTGCATATGCTTTTGGTTTGGTGTTTGTTGTTGGGTTTTTTTTTCCAGACAGTCATATGTTATGCATATAAAAATGCAGTAATAATAATTTATCTTTTTCACATTCGGTGACAGTTCCATACTTCAGCTCTCACCACATTTTTGTGGGGAACGTGACAACTGTCCTCATTTCCAAGTGGATAAATAAGCTGTGGTTAAGGGATATGACTGATGCCACATGATAAGTTAGTGGCAAAGGCGGCTTTAGACTGGCAGTGGTTCCTTGCCACCCAAAGGGAGAGTGCTGACTTTGCTATTGCCCGTTTTACTTTCCAGTCCTTTCCCTTGTCTGCCAGCGCTGACAACTGTCAGATCCTTCCACAAGATGCTTAATCACCCAATGCAACAGAAAACCATCTATACTGGACTCTTTATTTGCTCTACCAGGCTTGTTTTCTGCTGCTGTAGAAAGACACAGCAGCACACAGAGGAGTCCAGTACTTAACTGGTGACAGCATGAAATGTTCCCTTTCAACAGTGTGGAACTGGGTGTTTGACTCACGCAGAATGGTACTGTAAGAGTTCTCCAGGCTTGCACAGAGCTTGCTGGAGTTTGCCTCCTTGTAGCTGTCAGGATATCGCATTTATTTTTTATCCCTGAAATATATATATTTGCCTCATATAGCAAAGAATTAAAAATCCTGAGCTGACTTGAACATTTTATAACTGGAAATTATTTTTCAGGTAGCAGTTGAATCATCTATCAACTGCATCACTTTAATCTTGATCATCTTTTTCTAGTTTTTCTCTAGAGAAAGTGTTTACTTGGAAGAGAAAGATTACGTTTTCTGAAAAATGATTGTGGCTCTCCATTTTGATTTTGAAATGTAAATTTTAGTATTCCATGGGTAAAAATAGGAGCAGGCACATTTTATTCAAAGTAACTTGATACCAGGATACGGTGATGGAATAATAGTGGCACAAAATGTCCATGCTGCTTTGATTATCATATCATTCTGTTCTCCTCTGTTGCCAAGATGTCTTCATCGTCTTTGGGTTTGATGACAACTCTGCTCTTTTATGAATGTTATATCAGTTTTGGTCTTAATATAAACTATGAAGTGAAGTTCAGGGTGAGATTGAAAATGGTGGAATGACGGTATTCATCTTTTCATTTCACCATTTGGGCACATTCATAAATCCTTTACTCAGCTTTCTAGGGATTCATTATGGAAATTGATTTGTGTTTAAGCTGTACAGATAACGCTGTCTACAGGTGGGAAAAGTAAAATGTTCATTTCGAGTTTTTTGTTTTCTTTTAAATATTAAATTATTTGATTTGGATCCTCTTTGGGTACACTCCTAAAGTCTAATAAATATAGTAAATAAATACAGGCTGAGAATTGTTATTTTGAAATCTCTTTATGACATAAGTTCTTGTGCTTGCCTTTGAAGTTGTCTGTTGGGGAGAGAGGCTTTAGAGTGGAGCGGTGTGTTGTTTTGTTTTTTTTCCTCTTCTCTTACATCAACACATACACTTAGAAGAGGGAGCACAACCTGTCAAAGCACTGGAGAGAAGTTCTTTTCAAAGAGATACCTGGGATATAACTGCAGCCATTGCCGTTGATGTTGGTGGTCTGGGATTCTGCCCCTAAACCAGGAACACTAAGAGCTGGCAGCTGAACGAGAAAGGAAGGTATCTCCTGGCTGTCTTTTGGAGTTCAAAGAACTCCAAACGAATGACTTAGAAAGGAAAGGCTTTTTAGACCTCATTGTTTGGCCTTACGAAGCTGATGTGAGAAGATGTCCTTTTTCTTTGTATGTGCTGTTTAAGGAGAAGTGCTGTAGTATACACAATAGTGCTGCAACTCACAACCTGTAATGTGGCAGTGTGACTGTTAAGGCTGAGCTGCTTTCCGATGTTTTTCTTCTCCTCTGAGACTAGAACTGTGGAAAAAAAGAAAACACACAAGTACTACAGTGAATGTGTCTGCATTGATTTGTTTCAGATCCTCTCCTCAATCTTAGTTTCCTTGTTTTTGGCTAAAGGAGTGGTGAAACATGTATCCATGGCTTTACAGGCTGGTGTTTTTCTCATCAGACGTCCAAAAAGGTTATTTTTAGATCACTATAGAGGAAAAACAGAGCATTGGTCATGGCATTGTTCCCAGTTCCTGCTTGGACTCTGGTACCATTTGCTGTTTAATTCCAGAAAGGGAATTAACCTTGAACTCCTTAGATGCCAGTGTTGTTCTATCTATTGGCTGAACTTGTTGTATCCTCAGATATGTTCTGTCATTTCATCTGTCTCCAGTGGAGGCTTTTATTGCAAAGAGTAGATTGATGACCGTGCGTGGTATCTGAAAAACATATTTTTGAGAATATATGTAAAATAGAATGCCAACAGGAAAAATCTGTTCTGTGTCATCAGAGAGGCAGATGCAGGTTTTTCATCTTTGTCCGGATCAAATCAAAATGCCATTGTCTTGTTTTATACATTACTGTTCTCCAGTGACTGTCGCTTTAGTGATTTTCCTCTGTCAGCAGATTTGGAGTTTGAAATAAAAATTTTGCAGTAATTCTACTGCGTCATGCTCAATGCCCCACCCTTCTTTTTCCAAATGCTAGCATAGTAAATACTAATTTAAGAAGAATTGGCAGTGGTTGGTGAATGAAAGTAGAATTTAGACAACATTTTGTTTGTTGTTTGAAGAAGACATTTCTATGTACTTTTTAGTGATATACTAGGTTCATACTGGAATCATGTCTACTGTTTAGTTTTCAAAATTGAATGACTAGGCTGGGCCAGAGATGCACAGTAACTGTACCAGAAGATCTATTTACTTGTCACCTAGTTCTGTGGCAAGTAAGTCCTTGGGAAACAAATTGTGCTGCTCAAATGTAAGATAGTGCTTTATGGTTTTCCCAGTCAACTTTCAGAAGCAGTAGAGGTTTTCTCCTAGCCAAGATACTATAGGGAAGGGAATCCTTGTTAAAGGAGGAAATAAACCCGGAGACTAGTACTATTTGTTGACTGCTCCAGATGGGCAACTAATGGATCTAGGTCCATTGTACATGTCCCATAAAACTTATGTTCAAGGGCTGGATCTTAGCTGGTGTAAACGGCTGGAGTTCTGTCAGCCCTAAATTTAGACATGATGTACAAATGAAAACAATAGACACTGGGTTAAGACTGCAGAAGGAACACCAAAGGTGCAGGATAGATTTATGAGGTTGCTTTTATTTAGCACTGTCCACATCCTGAAAGTTCTTTTATTATGGGAAAAGTGGTGATAGAGACTGTAGTGGATTCAGTGTTAAGTAACCTAACTGGAGTCTGTGGAAGTAGTAGCTGTCATCATGTAAATACAGCATCGTAATGCGTATACACAGCTTCTGTGTTTTAAAAAATAAAACGGGTTGGAGTGTCTGTCTTTTAATACCTTAACTTTGTATTTAGGTACAGCTTTTTTTTTTTTTTCCCTTTCCTTTTTAGGACTGTCGAATGATTTAGCAATAGCAATCAGATCAGCCATAACAAATTAAGTTTTCCTGAAGTACATACATTTGCATTTTGGAGTGCTTGACTGCAGTGTTGTTGAAGATTGTTACTGTGATTTTTATCTGTACTGTTTTCTATCTTTTGTCTTGCTAGGTCTGCCCTCACAGCCCTCAGTTTTCAGTGCCATCTGGCAGAGTTCTCTCAAATATTGGGGAGAAAACAGCATTGACAGAATCAGTGCTACCTAATATAAATCCGGAAGAAACTGGAGTGAAGGCAGTTAATGCTGTCACAATGAT